GCATAGCCTCGTGACCCTGAACTCCCTTCCAGGTTCCTCATCTGTGTAATGTGGGTATATCAGTACCAGCTTTGAGGGGTGACTAGGATTGGATGGGATGATCAGTGACAAGGTCCTGGTGTAGGCCTGGCACATAAAGTATTGACTAGGCTGGGTGCAGTGGCTCACACCTGTAATCCCAATACTTTGGGAGACCAAGGCAGAAGAATCACCTGAGGTCAGGCGTTCAAGACCAGCCTGGCCGACATGGTGAAACTTCATCTCTACTAAAAATACCAAAAATAAAATAAAATAAATAAAAAATAAAAGTAGCTGAGCGGGCACCTGTAATCCCAGCTACTCAGGAGGCTGAGGCAGGAGAAACACTTGAACCCAGGAGGTGGAGGTTGCAGTGAGCCACAATCACATTATTGCACTCCAGCCTGGGCAGCAAGAGTGAAACTTCATCTCAAAAAAAAAAAAGTGTTGACTAGACAGAAGGTGATACTGCTATTGGGGAGGATGGGGCTGAACCCTGGAGGGCAGGGCTACTAGGTACTTTTTCCTTCTTTGACTTGATAGAAATGAAGAGGCCACAGGCCAGGTGCGGTGACTCATGCCTGTAACCCCAGCACTTTGGGAGGCTGAGGCGGGTGGATCACTTGAGGCCAGGAGTTTGAGACCAACATGGCCAACATGGTAAAACCCTGTCTCTACTAAAAATACAAAAATTAGCCTGGCGTGTTGGTGCATACCTGTAATCCCAGCCTCAGGAGGCTGAGGCACAAGAAGCGCTTGAACCTAGGAAGTGGCAGTTGCAGGGAACTGAAATCATGTCACTGCACTGCAGTGCACTTCAGTCTGGGCAACAGAGCAAGACTCTGTCCCCCTCCAAAAAAAAAAAATTAGAAGGTATTTTGATTAGAGGTAAAATGTGGCTGAAATGAATGAATACGGTAGCTACCCAGATGCTTCTGTGTGCGCTGTGCTTTTTGTTATCTGCAGCCTCCACCATTGCCCTGCAGGGGAGGGGCCTTTGGACTCTGCAGCTCAGTGAGAGGAAATTTGTACTTTGCCCAGGGCCTCCTGGCTACCAAGAGAGAAGTCAGGGTTCGAACACAGGCTTGCCTGGTTCCGAAATCTGGAATATTTCTCTCTCTGCCAGACTGCCCCTACCTGGAAAGCCATCTGGCTTTTTTTTTTTTTTTTTTTTACAGTATGTTATCATTGTTCTATTTTATCAATCTCTTGTTATGCCTAATTTATACATTACACTTTATCATCGGTGTGTATATATAGAAAAAAGGTGTATAAAGGTTTGGTACTATCTGAGGTTTCAGGAGTCCACTGGGGGCCTTGGGATGCATCCCCTGAAGATAAGGGGAAACTACTGTATGCAAAATCGAAAGCTATACAACAATTAAAAACATTGGGGAAGAGGAATACCTGGCTCAGGTGGTTACTGCTGCTCCTAAAATGGTGTGTGAGCTCAGAGCGCAGTTTGGCAGACACCTCATCCCCTGCCTCCCAGAAGAGGAGAAATAGGATGGCCATGTAACAATGGAAATTGAGTTAGAAGGAAGGCAGGCCCTGGGAGACCTGGCTTTCCTGTCAGGTGGGGCTTCAGAAGGCTCAGGCCAAGAGTGGAGTCCATGGATTTTTCAGAAATACAAATGTTTTATGGGCACATAACCTGGCAGTCACTTGAGACTTCTTGGTGATTCTTACTTGATAAACATGACATGTTTCCTGACCGGACTTCTGCTGTTCCAATTTGGTCAGTACCACTGGCAAGGGATTGGGGAGGGAAGATTGACCTTAGGCAAGAGACAGGGTTTCTTCATGTTGGTCAGGCTGGTCTCAAACTCCAGACCTCAGGTGATCCGCTCCTGCAACCTCCAACACCCTGGTTCAAGTGATTCTTCTGTATCAGCCTCCCAAAGTGCTGAGATTACAGGTGTGAGCCACCTCACCCAGCAAAATACAAAAATTAGCTGGGCATGGTGGCACATGCCTGTAATCTCAGCTATTCGGGAGGCTGATACAGAAGAATCACTTGAACCAGGGAGTTGGAGGTTGCAGGGAGCCAAGATCGCGCCACTGCACTGCACTTTGGCAACAGAGCAAGACTCTGTCTCCAAAAAAAAAAAAAAAAAAAAAGTTTCTAAACTCTTACTCTCAATTTCTGTACTGCAGGCAATGCATTTGACTCTAGACTAAGTGTAGTCCTGGACTGGTACACTTCGAGAGCAGTGATCTAGGAAGAAAGTCTGTTAAGCAAATTAGTAGAATAAACAAGATATTTTTAGACTATTTACCTGATTTTTTTTTTTCTTTTCTTTTCTTTTTTTTTTTTTTTTTTTGAGACGGAGTCTTGCTCTCTTACCCAGGCTGGAGTGCAGTGGTTCAATCTCAGCTCACTGCAACTTCTGCCACCTGGGTTCAAGTAGCTGGGATTACAGGCGCCCACCACCATGCCCGGCCAATTTTTGTATTTTTATTAGAGACAGGGTTTCACCGTATTGGTCAGGCTGGTGTTGAACTCCTGACCCCATGTGATCCACCTGCCTCAGCCTCCCAAAGTGCTGGGATTACAGGCGAGAACCACCACACCCAGCCCATTTTACCTGATTTAAGAGTAAAAATAATTTCTTTGCATTTAAAATGCTTCACATGTTTTCAGTAAAGTTCCATATTGGCAGGCAGGGATGTAAAAATATACCAGTAACTGAAGCCAGTATAGTTGTGAGGGGTCCCTAAGTCTAACCCTAAACTGGTGGCAGTACTTGGAAAAATAGGTGTTTTTACTTCCTTTGTTGTTTCTGAGAAGCATTACATATTCTGCTGATTTAATTTACATTAGAATATTTCTGGCTAGCCTTTGAATTATCTGTGTATTTCAGGGCACCATTTTAGGTGCATTCTCCTAAGTGGTTGTGGTTGTTGTCATTGTTTTTTTTTTTCTTGCTCTGTCATCTAGCCTGAAGTGCAGTGGTGCAATCCCAGTTAACTGTCACCTTGAACTCCTGGGCTCAAGCAGTCTTCTCACCTCAGCCTCCTGGATAACTGGGACCACAGGCGTGCCTGATTTTTTATTTTTCCTAAGCAAACTAAAAAAAAAAGAAAAAGTCTCAAGAGTTGAATATGCTGATAGTAATTATGTGTAACTTAATTGTTCATATTTCAAAATTGGATTTTTGTTCTCTAGCTGCCAGTCATATCTTATATTTGTGGCTTTTTTTTTGGCGGGGGGTGGGGGCTGTCTTCCTTGTTCTGAGATGACTGGCGTGTGGTGTTCTGTCAGGCCAGGATTCTCTCTCCCTGCCATCAGAGCCCGCCCAGAAGCTGCCTTTCTCAGACAGCCTGTCCACGGCCACCGTCCTGGGCCCCGCTGCTCACTCACAGCACTCGGCTGAGCTGCCTTCAGCCCACCCTCCACTGGCCCCTTTCTCCTCACTCCAAAGTCAGGACTCCCTTTTGTTTTGTATGGTGCTTTGTATTACACTTTTCAAGGCTCTTTCATGTATATATTCTCTTATTTCATCCTCCAGACAATCCCATGAGGTTGGTAGAACAGAGATTTTCATCTCCGTTTTAACTGAGGTGAGGCTGGGAGAGTGTCCGCATGGCATGTACCCTCATTCCTTTGCCCTGGGGCTCCCAGAGCTACTTGTTACCACTCAGGTCCAGACTTCCACATGTACAAGGTTTTGAGTTTGCTCAAACACGCCTGTAATTTTGAGGTCCTCTTTTCTACTCATTATTTATATTTGTTATTGCAAAGTCAAACATTAGACTACTTGGTTCAGTGTCCCAGGCCTCTTTGGAAGAAAGAAATCTTCAGAACCTGAGGGGGCGGTCAGTAGAGAACTAGAGCCGGGAGCCCCAGAGGGCCACGCAGGGTGAGCTGGGTGTCTTGAGGGACAAGTTCTGTTTCAGGGTTAGTTGTCTCCACCTGAGATTTTCAGACAAGAGTGGGAGGGGATGGGTTTCCCTTATATTTCACAATAAAAGCTCAGCATATTGGGATGACACAGAACATTTCTCATGAAGAAAAGAATTCTTCTTGAAAGGAGGGAGGGCACATTGAAAAATTTCTTTACACTCAAGTGAGAAATCATTTGCTTTTGACTCTCTTTCCCCATCCCCTTAATGGTCAAACAGACTGGTTCCAAATCCAGTCCTGCCACTTACTAGGTAGGTATGGTGACAATTGGTCAAGGTATTAACTTCCCTAACCTTGTTTTCTCATCTGTAAAATGGGTAAAATATTGTCCACTTTGGAGCATTATTTTTAGGGTCAAAGATGATGCATGTAAAGCACCTTGATTATGACCTCGATAAGTGAGTGTTCCCTGACACCTAATTCAGAAGCGGGATCTTGACCCAGGAGGAGCCAGTGTATAGCGTGGGCTCCAGCAGCGGCTCTTAGACTTGAGCAGGCAACGGCATCACCTGGAAGGCTCTTTAAACTACGGCTGGCTGGCCCTACTCCCTCCCATACTCCCTCCCATAGTTTCTGATTCATTTAGTCTGGAGTAAGGTTTGAGATTTCGCATTGCTAAGTTTCCACATGCTGCTGCTGCTTCTGGTTTGGGGACTATACTTTGAGAGCCACGGGGCTGCAGGTGACTGGCCAGTGGACATTTAGGTGCTAAAGACGCGCTTGGAAACTGAGCTCTTATGTGGCTCCTCTGTTAGATACTGATTGAAACGCATTTTGAAAATACTGAATTTAGTATCTCAAGGATATTTCCTGCTGAAGTGTTACATATATTTGAGGGAGAATAAGTTGTGAAAGTAACAGTTTTATTATAGATAGTCTGATGATATCTAGTTGGCTAAGGTATGTGAAAGTGCTTTCATAAAATGTAAGATGAATGTTAAGTCACAACTGAAAAAATATTTTAAATAACTTCATTTTTAAGATTAAACACCATATTGGAGTATAAAATAGCATAACTTAGATTTCTCATCTCAATGTGCTGTTTACTATATGTATTTTTCTCTTTCTCCTCCAGGCTGCTGACTTGAGTAAACCAATAGATAAAAGGATATACAAAGGAACACAGCCTACTTGTCATGACTTCAACCACCTAACAGCCACAGCAGAAAGTGTCTCTCTCCTAGTGGGCTTTTCTGCAGGCCAAGTCCAGCTTATAGACCCAATCAAAAAAGAAACTAGCAAACTTTTTAATGAGGAAGTAAGTAGCACCCTGTCTTAGCTGTTAAGGATCCCTTTAGGAATTGGTGCGTTCTTACCAAGGGTAGTGGGCCTTATTTTGCACTTCAGGCTAAGCCCATTTTCTATTCGCTCAGCTCTCCTCCCTAGTATACCCAGGTTTAAATGTGGTGGATTAATTTGTTGACCTTACCTGTTCCCTTGGGGTAACTGTTTTGTGCATTTTTATGGAGCATGCTCAGGTGTCTGTAACAGGTGTTTAAAAACTCTTCTGCAGTGGAGTTAGGGACAGTACTGTAACTTGGTATTTATAATTTAGGAAAATGTAGAATTCCAAACTTGCTTCACATCACCGAACATTTCATGCAGATCAAAGAACTTGATAACATTTCCTTAGGTGGCTTAAATTGTAGCTAAAGCTTCCGTATGTATGTTTGACAGGCACTGGGCTAAGGAGTACTTCACTTGCTCTTGAAAAATAGTTGCTGTAAACCCACCTTTGACGTAGTTAGAAATCCTGGCACTTAAATTTGGGTCACATGACGTGGCTTTTGCCAGTGTTGTAGTATGTCCTGGGGTTTCAAGAGTTTGAGATATCTGAGCTGTCTGTCCAGGAACATGTCAGGACTGTTGAATGTGGCATATAGAAATTGCCAAATAGATGATGTTTTTAAAAGCTGTTGGAGCATCTTTTAGCCTCAGCTATTGCTATTTCATATTTAATGTTCTTCCTCCTCTGTTTCAGTATGACTTTTCTCCCAAATGGAAAAGATAAGGTAGGCTTGCTGATTTAGAAGCCCTGGGTTCCAATCTCTACTTGGGACCTCACCCCCAATGTGCAAGTGTCGGGCTATGTAGGACCCCTCCCTTAGAAAGGATAAGTGCTTTTGCATTGTTGCAGGGTTTTAACATCATCAACTTGGAACAAAAACACATTATAGAGTATGGTTTTTAAGAAATAATTTTGTTTGGGGAGGAAAATTCAACTTGACAAATGGCAGTTAAAATTTGGATTCTTTGGCAGTCATGGTATTTGCTACATGCAAATTCAGTGTCCACCCAGGTCCTCCTATTTGACATTGCCAGCGGATTTGATGAGATCTCATGAGCCATGCCGCCTCTTCTAGTGTCCTGAGTTGACTGAGAACAAAACTTGTCATCTGGACTGACAGACTGTAGAGGAAAAGTATTTAATTCCATTTCCATTAAAAAGTGTTAAGCAGAAAATATTTTATTTACCTAGATGTTTTATTAATATCATCTGAGGAAGTGATTCTTAAATAGCTAGATGATTATTTTTTTGATGCTGGGTCGGGGGACAGCACACACAATTGGCCTCCTCTGCACTGTTAGCAGAAATTGTGAAGCATCTTTGTGTGTTTTTGTTGTTATAGGTAGGGGAGAGTGTGATTGAGGGGGCAGGGATTGGAGCCATGTAAAGGGCTGCTGGTAAACAAGACCCGGAGGCAGCCCTGGCCGAGGATGGTACAGAATGCTGCTCAGAGAACAAGAAAGGTTTGTGTGTAATGGCAGGGGGAGGGCCAGGAGTTGGAGACCACGTGTCACTGGAATCTCAGGGCTCTGGGAGCACTCAGGCTGCATCAGCCAGAACCATCCCTGCCCTGGTGACTGAGAGTTGCAGGCTGGAAGGCAGCTCCTCATTCTTCATGATTTAAGTATGAGTTATCTCATACTCATTTTACATTTTATCTGAAAAATGGCTGTTTAGAATGCTAGGACTATGTGTGGTTTAATGCCAGCTTGACATTTACTGCTTGAGGCTGAAATTGATTGCTCTTCATGGTAAGGAAATTCTTTAGCTGTGTGGATACATTTTTATCAGATTTTGGTCAGAATGTCTAAGTTGAGCAAGAGTTACCAGAGGTTTGTTCCTTAGAGAGTGCCAGGAATGGTGGTGAAGTAGTCATCGTGCTGTGCTTTGCTGTGGTGTGAGATTTACAGGTTTTACCCCTAGCCTCTCCAGGGAGGATGGGCAGTTCTTCCCATTTCACAGATGAGGAAGTAGTCAAAGATCAGGCAAGTGAATTGTCCAGATGAGGTAGCAAGTTGATGATAGAGTGGGAGCCGGAAATTAATTCCAGAAACTCTTATTGGTTATAGGCCCTACCATGCATGGTTGCCCGATGAGCGCTTGCCCTTCTGGGAGCTCACAGTTTAGTAAGGACGGACAGAGATTACTGGGCACGTGTATACATAGCGATATGAGCAAAATACCAAGGCATAGCTGCCGCAGGAATTCTTTAGCATGCATCACATATCATAAAGTTTTTTAAAATGTTAAGGTCACTGGGGGAGTTCCAAGAAATGCATTAAGAAAGTGATGTTTGATCTGGGTCTTAAAGGGTACATAGTTGTTAGAGGAGAGTAAGGAAGGCCTTCAAAGCTGGAGGAACAACTAGGCATGTGAAAGAGCATCCAGTAACAGCATGGCCACCTCACACAGTGTAGGATTTGGAGTGGCAGGGTTCGAAGCTGGAAAGATACATTAGAGCCAGCTTGTATTATAAAAGTCCATTCATGTCCTGCAAAGAAATTTGGAGCTGACATTGGAGGTTGTGGGGGAACCTTTGGCCTCTTAATCAAGGGAGTGACAGGATCAAATATGTTTTTTTAGAACTCTTGTCAGCCCTTGTGGAAGGTGGATTGGAATGAAGAAAGACAGAATGAAGGTAGCAAGACCAGTGAGGAGGTTCTAGTAACTGTCCGGGTGAGAGCTGAGGGCTCGAACTAGAGTTGTGACCCTTGTTTCATTTATTCAGGGCTTTGACTACCTACCACACGCCCAGCACTGGGTCTGCAGCAGCAGGCAAAACCTGCCCTCCTGTGACCTCTCTCAGGAGGGAAGAGAGGCATAATAGCACCACCAGGCACACGGGGGAACCACAGATGGTGACACTTTGTGATGTAAAAGGCAAGAGAGCAGGCCCGAGAAAGGGAGAGAATCACAGAGGTCTACTTCAGTTATTTATTTGTTTGTTTATTTATTTATTTGACAGAGTCTTAATCTGTCATCTAGGCTAGAGTGCAGTGGCACGATCTGGGCTCACTGCAACCTCCACCTCCCAGGTTCAAGCTGTTCTTGCGTATTACCCACCCAAGTAGCTGGGATTACAGGCATGTGCCACCACGCCCAACTAATTTTTATATTTTTAGTAGAGACGGGGTTTCACTATGTTGGCCAGGCTGCTTTGGAACTCCTGGCTTCAAGTGATCTGCCCACCTTAGCTTCCCAAAGTGCTGGAATTACAGGCATGAGCCACCACGGCTGGCCAACACAGAGGTCTACTTTAAATTGGGAGGCAGGGAAGAACATCTCTCAAAGGAAGTGGTATGCTTTCGGCTGAGCCTCATGTGAGAAGAAGGCCAACCAGGTAAGGAGCTGGAGATGGAGCATTCCTGCAAAAAGAATAGCAGGCAAGGGCCCTTGAGACCAAGGAAACTGGAAGAAGGACAGTTTACCTGGGGAAAGCGGCATGAGATTGGAGGGCCACATCACTTGGGGCCTGATCCAAAATTGTTTCTTAGCCCACAGTATCAGATCACTTAGAAGGGAGCAGGTGCACAAGGCAGGCAGATTGGTGTTTTTGAAAGGTACCCTGGCAGCTGAATTGGAGAGATGTATTAATAAATCTTAGGTTTCTGGCTGCCTCTTGCTGCATTGGGTGAGACTGGGAAGGGAGCAGTTATCTGGGAATGGAGGGGAATATCAGAGGTTCTGGTCGGTACTTGCTAAGTTTGGGAGACCTGTAGATAGTGGGACATGTGGATCTGGAGTACAAAACTAGGGGTAACAATTTGGCAGTTGTCAGCATAGAAGTAATATAATCACATCCTTGAGATAGATGAAAGGGTCTTTGGAGAGAGGATGGTGAGAACAAAGAAGGCCTGGGACTGAGCCCCAATTATACTCCAAGATTCTGTCCATCTCATCTACTGCTTTCAAAGGAGCACTTAACACAGAGTTCATTACCACGACATTTACAACTTCACAGCCCAGAATGCTGAGGGCTCGGACACCAGCTTGGCCACTTTCTGCTTGCAGGATGTGGGTCTCACCTCTCCTCCTCGGTTGGAAAATGGGTGGGAACAGCACCCACCTGAGAGGTTTATGGTGAGGCTCAGATGAATCAGTTCAGGCAAGGTGTTTGTGAAGGGCCTGAAGAGCAAGCTTTGGTGGATGCTCAGCATTGTGGAGGTTGAGAGAAACTCAGAGGCTTCCTTTCCTGGGAGGGGTGGCATTGGAAGGAAAGACTTCTCTGGGAGGCGAGATACCAACAGTTTTGAAAGACAAGTAGTTTTCTAGGACAAACAGATAGGAGCATGGCAACCCAGGCAGAGAGTCAACATGTGTGAAGCCGAGTGTCGTCCTGCTGGTCACAATTACAGCGATGTGGCCTTTCAGTCTTCCTCACCAGAACACCTCTCAGACCCACCTGTTACCATGTGACATGTGCACATACCTGCACACACTGAATCCCAGCATCAGTTACTTTGCCTCCTTTCTAGTGCCTGGTACATGAAAAAATAATTGTTGGGATGGACAGATGAATGAAATGGAATTCGAAATTTCAAAAGTCTACCTGAGATAAACCTAGATTTAAAAATTTCCATCTGCAAACAAGGTGTGTGTGTGTGTGTGTGTGTGTGTGTGTGTATTTTCTTTTTCTTTTTTGAGACGGAGTTTCACTGTGTCACCAGGCTGGAGTGCAGTGGTGCAATCTCGGCTCACTGCAACCTCCACCTCCTGGGTTCAAGCGATTCTTCTGCCTCAGCCTCCCGAGTAGCTGGGACCACAGGCACCTGCCACCATGCCTGGCTAATTTTTGTATTTTCAGTAGAGACAGGGTTTCACCATGTTGGCCAGGAGGGTCTCGATCTCTTGACCGCATGATCCGCCCACCTCAGCCTCCCAAAGTGCTGGGATTACAGGCATGAGCCACCGCACCCAGCCGAACAAGTATATTTTAAAAGGTGATTTTCCCCCTGTCATTTAAAAATTGT